CTTCTCACTATATACATGGGTCGAAGGCACCAAGGTCGGCCCATTACTTGTTATGTGGAATGTTAGTTGTCTCTGTGATGCTTGCATGAAAGACCATGGGGGGAGCCCATGGCACTTGAGTATCAGACCATGGAGGGAGCCCATGGCATTCCAGGTAAAGACCATGGGGTAAGCTCATGGCACTCGGATGTCAGATCATGGGGGAAGCCCATGGCATTCCAAGTATGTTATATGGGGGTTGAAATATACCCCAGGACAGGGCCCACTATGTTATGTTTGGCAACTATATGTATGTTGCATGATATTATGTGATTGTATGTTATATAGTATTTTGGGGAAGATCACTAAGCTTTGTGCTTACGGTTTTCAGCTTATGTTTCAGGTACTCCGGTTTTCAAATGAAATAGCTCGGGACAATTGTAGATCACACACCACATGTTTCTGCATTCTTTGAATTACTCTGATTTGATGATATTTTGCTAAATCTTGATTACCTTGGTTTTATGGGAAAGATATGTATTAACGATTTATTAATCTAAAAATAAAAAAATTATGTCATGATTTTCGGGACGTTACGGTCAAATGGGGGAGTCGATGTTGTGCATGGCCGACGATTAGAGAAAGAGAGGGATAAGAGATAAATAGAGTTAGAGAAAAAAAATCATGGTAACTAGCCATTAAAAATCATAATAAACTAAAAACGAAAGATAAGACAACATGAAGGACGATGGAATGATGTCGGCGTAAAGTCCGGTAGAGAGATGGCCGACGGGAATGGGTTGTCCGAAAGAAGCAATCATGGAAAAAAATTTGGAGGCATTCTATCTTAAAAATCGATTGCAATTTTATAGGGATATCATGGGATTTTAATTCATTTAACAGTGACCATAAATAATTAATAGTTAAGATTATAAAATTAACTTTGTAGATTTTTGAAATGATTGGCTTACAATCATTACTACATCCACACAATATTTAGTTAGAATAGTTGAACATCTCTCTCTCTCTCTTTATATATATATATATATATATATATATATATACTTATACTACTTTATAATGCATAAATAATAGAAGACCAAAAGTTTTTAAGACCAAAGTCTTAAAAATAAGGAGGTAAAATATGAACCTTTGATTTAATTTGAATGGTGTAGATTAATTATATAGTGGTGATCCTTGTGAATAAGTTTAACCCAATCAAAACTGAATATTTACACTATAAATATAATCCATCATTGATAACCCCGGCTTCAAACTTAAGCTGTTACCTCCTCCCACATTTCCTCTACAACCCTGACCACTATGACCACCTCTACTCAATTCTCAACGACCTTTTTTTAAGAATATCATTCATATTGTTTTTCCTCTCAAATAGTCCTCACTACCACTGCAAGCAACCTCGCCACCAACACCAGCTCCATAAAACCCTCACATTACTAACAACGTCACCACCATCCCCATTTCTTTCATTGTCATCAACCTGCACCACCACCTTCTGTATAGACGTAAACCACCATAAATCTAAACACCATCCTCAAATATGTTGTTCTATACAACAGTAGGCCCCTTCACTTCAGCTCCCTCCATATCGATCCGAGTTTATGATGAAGAAAAGAGGTGGATTTCTGGATTTGAGTTAGATCTTTGTAGATCTGCGTTTCTTGTTCCCATTACCACCAACATTAGCTCAATCACTCTCGACATCTGGTACACCGCCAAATCTAGATGTTGAATAGTCATTGTAGTTAATCTCCAGGTTTGGAGACGTTAAGAGGAAGAAATTGTTTATTTATTATAGTTTTTTGTTTGCGAGCTCTTAGATATGAAAATGTGCATTATGAACTGAAATAGTATATTTAGTTTATTTTTTGTTTTTCAGATTTTAGATTTTGCAAGTTGTTGAGTGTGATTTGATTATTTAGACCTTCTCAGCTTCCATATTTGAAGATAGATTATTCACCTTCTCAACTTCCAGATTTGAAAATAGCTTATTCACTTTATGTTTGATAAATCGCCGAATTAAATAAAAATAGAAAATGTATAGCATTTTTTATCAAACATAAAAGTAACGTCATCAAATCATAAATGCAAGTACTTATAAATATTAGAATATGTATCAAATATAATTGTATTTAATATTTTATCTGTATAATAAGTAATTACCTTTTTTTTTTCTAATGTGAAACTTATATGCATTTGATTTAAATAAACATATAAGCCAAATCTATGATAAAGACGGTATATGAAAATAGTTCCCGTCTCAATGTCACTATTGATAGCTTTTTATAGAAAAACATTGTTTCAATATAGAATCTAAAAATAAAAAATAAGTATACATAAGTAGGTGTAAGGCTTTCAATAGAAGCTTTCAACAATAAATGTTCTTTAATAGTGATACAAAAGCAACATATCTATACGAAGAGACATTCTAGGGCAATAGGTTAAGGAGACATTGACAACTCAATAAGTTTCATCATTTTCATATATTTATTTTTATTATAAAATACTACATTATTATTTTTTAAAATGTAAAAAAAAAAACAACAAATTTTAACCACCAATAATAATATATTTAAATTTATTTTTTACTTTTTATCAATTATATTATACAGTATATAATTTTTTTATGGAAACGATATTATCATTTACCACTAACAAAAAATATTTTTGTTTTTCTTATAAACTCAAAGGGTATCGTTAAAATGACTTGCAACCGGTTTGAGAAAGTCTTTTAGGTAAATATTTTTATTTTGTTTATATAAAAGCGTAACACATATTTATAAGTATTTTTAATATGAATAAATTTGTTTCTTATAAAGTATGAATCTATCAAAATAAAATTTTGACATATAGATACATACTTTTGGTTTCGTAAAATGTTTTGAATACCCTATAACCAAACATAAATTAAAATGTGATCATAAAAGGTATATGAATTAACGTTTTCACTTATATCAACTTATTATTGATTGTAGATAATATAATACTAACTTTTAGTTTTATTATTTTAATAATAAATAATTTTATATCAACTTATTATTGATTGTAGATAATATAATACTAACTTTTAGTTTTATTATTTTAATAATAAACAATTTGGAATACCAATTTATCATGAAGAGTGCAAGAGTAGTAGTTAAACCAGAAAAAATAGGTTAGAGAGCATGCTATTTGATATGTGGTTTACATACCAAGAAATATACTCGATAATTGTCCAAAACTTTTTGAGTGTAATGTGGGAGACAAAGAAATTTAGACGCTTCGTAATCCACGTATAAATGAGTGTTTCTTAATTATTTTGGAATACATTTAAGTAAATATTTAACATGAGAACTTAAATTGTGTTCGATTCTATGAAATTGCAATGTGTTTTTTATTTTTAACCCAAAAACGTGTATTTGTATTTTTAATCTAAATTAAGAACATATTTTGTTTTTATTTTTATTTTTCGCAAAAAATAACATAGCAATTTTAATCTAAAACATATGTTATTAAAAATAGCATATCAATTAGGACATGTATGCTCACTTTTGATGATAATTGCCTTATGACCTTATATCATTATGACTAGGGATGAGTATACGATCAGTTAAAGCAGAACGGACCGGACCAGATATTCATATTAGCGGGCCGGTTTTCGGATTTTGTTTTTATCACTAATCGGGTTTGGACCGGCTAGACCCAGAATACCGGATTTAATCCAGACCGGACCGGAAAACATTTTCACCTTAATCCATTTTATTGATATCGCCTACAAATATTTATTACTGATCGAGTCGTATATTTATGACGTTTCTAAATAGAAATAAATGAATTTTATGGATCTAATTCACTGCTGTTATCGTCATTTAATGATTATTAAAGTCAAATAAGAATTTTTCAAATGAGTATGAGCTAAGTGAAATATGTAATAAAAAAATATATGATAAATTGATTATAATAATGTTTTATTCCTTTCACCAAAATATATTATATATTGGTATTTGTTTTGAAGAATACAACATAAAACTTATTATATTTATTTCATTACAATACATTGAGTAACATATAATTTTACTAGACATTGATTTAAAAAAAACAGATTGATATAATGATAATTATTACATTTGTATTCATCTTCTTTTTCTATATATATAGAAAAAAATACAAGTGAGATCGTATGTATATGAATTATTGAAATAAATTTCAAAGAAAATCAACGGTATATAATATTGGATAGTCTTTCAAGACATTAAATATGATAAACAATCAAGTTATTTCTACATTTCAAATTAGAAATGTCTAAGGAAAACTAATTGTTGATACATTATGTGTTTATTGGAATATGATATGTTTTCAAAATGAAACTACACCTAAGAAAGCTGTTAACAATGTTTACAGGAATATGATATTTTTCCAAAATGAAAATAACACCTAAGGAAGCTATTAACTGAAAAAATTAATTCACTTGGACACTATTAATCGAAATGAAACTAAATGTCGTCGCCGCATCGCGCGGGTACCCCACTACTATATATATATATATATATATATATATATATATATATATATATATATATATATATATATATATATATATATATATATATAGGTAGCGGTTTTGAAAAAATAAAAACCGGAACCGCTTAAGGCGGTTCCCGTTCTAAGACGGTTCCGGTTCCGAAAACAGGTATCCCATTCTAATGCTCTTCCCTAATATTATGTATGGTCATATGTCTTGTTTGGAGGGATCCATGAAATATGTTGTTTTTAATGGAGAGTTGTTTGTTCTGTGGATTTACTTGTATTATTTTTTACGCCGACAATGTTTTACGGCTACAATGCTATTTTTATTGGTGAGTTTTTTTAAGGAGAATATGGTTAATTCGGTATAAAGTCTCCACTACTTTTTCGTAGCTTCAAAATTAAAGAATTAACAAGCATACAACTTCCAACAAGCATACAACTTCAAAAATTAAAAAAATAACAAGCATATAATTTCGCAGAAATATAACATACAACTTCCTTGACTTTTATTAAGTGACCCAAGTCTCATGATTTTTAAGTTTGATACGTGATCCCTTAAGAACATCCAAAAGTCAGCTCAATCTATTAGTATTACAAATACAGGTAACACAATAGTATATTTTTTACATTGATGCCTAAACGTCTTAGGTGTAGATTGTTATGGAAAAACCACCATCATGCGCATCTGAAGGTCAAGAAGGAAGGTAAGCATGGAAATGAAGGGAACAAGCAACAGCAATGCAATAACTTAACATATTCATTGAAGATTTCACCAGTTGGGAACACCTTATTATTGTATACATAAGTTTTATAATCCAATATAAATTAACTATGCACCTTGCTTCAGGTTTATAAATGTATTGCCTGCCATGTCAGGGCTTTTTAGTAGCTGCTACCTCCCTCTGCCCACTGGTTATTCTGATTGTGTGCTTTCTTAAACATCGCAATAAAACGAACCAGATAACTTACAACTGCAAAAAACAAATCCAGCAAAGCATATGAGATATCCACATACAACATACTAATGAACAAATCGACCACATTCTATCTGACTAGCTTTACGTTAGAGACACATAGAGTAACAGAACCAATCAAATATTGCAACTTTGACACAACACTGGTTTTTATCTCGTTAAATTAGACCAAATCACATATATATGTATAAACATATCAGTGAGAATCAAGATGTTGATGACATTGAAAACTACAACAAACCTTGCTCCCAAGTACAACGGCTGGAATCCTCTGCAAAATATTGGACAAGTGAATCTGCATCCTCAGCCTGCAAAACATGTATATGCTTGTTATGGAGAACACTCAAAGTTCTTTCATTCTTTATAAAGGACTTATCGGATTACTCAAAGGCTCACCACTTCATTGAAGAAGGAGGTAAGTGGTGGGAGTTGAGCACCCGCACTATCAAGAAATCTCTTCATGGCCTGTAGTAGTGTGGTTGGAGAATTATTTGTTCTTGAAAAAAAAAAAAAAAAAAACGATATAAAAAAAATTATTACAGGAGAGGACCCCAAATGGAGTTGTTTTGAAGGAGAGGACTAAAAGGGTAGATTCGATGTTGAAAGAGGCCGTTTTATGCTCTTTTAGTTGGACTGATTATCGATGTAAAGGCGATAATTAAAGTCGATTGGTTGACATGACTCACATACACATACTTAGCACTCTCCTATTTCTAATTTTTTGAGATTTAGCTACCAGAAAAGAAGTAATGCAGTTGTTAGCTAAATTATTTATTCTTTAACTCAATTAAATCTTTCAATCCTCATTCTCAATCTCTTAGCTATTTATAAAGATCCAAGAAAGTTAAATAGGTAACTATGTACTTGCCTCTCGGAATTGAGCATATACACCACCATCATTGGCCGATGCATGGAATTCCTGTTGCACCTCATTATAACTTTTGCTTATTGCTAACACATCCAGTCGCAAACTTGTAATGTGCATCTAATTACAGTTTGATGAGGATACCCATATGGAAAAAGAAAATTACAAGTCACATTCAGGTATTCAATTTACCATGGAGGCAGCTTGCAAGTGAATCATATCCTTGTCAAAATCCAACAACTCTGGAGTTTGTTCTGCAATCACCTAGTTAGTAAGCAATAGTGGCATGTAAGTACCCAAAACCAGAACATGATATAAGTGACATGGAATTTTATAACTTAAAGAAATGCAATTTCTGGATATGTATCGTAGTGGTAACTTTGTGGTAATCAATTAATCTACAGATAGTGCGACTACAAAATTAAAGGTCAACAGGAATTATACCTTGCATAGACAATGCAACAGTGTGATCTGTTTGTTTGTTGCATGTGTATCTCCCAATTTCTCAAGACTGTGTAATTTAAATCCTTCAGCAGATCCTGCAACAAAGATGCTGTATGTCATTCCATAAAACATAGAAATAAAATATTTCCTTCAAAATGCTTAGATATTTATGCAATGGTCTCCCAATGTACCTTGATCTGTGCCTTCATTTAATATATTCCCCATGGTGCAAATTGTATGCATTATTGCAACCAGCTTTGTTGATTCCCTGATCTAAATTATCTAGATGTTAAGACTTTTAAAAATAGTGCAAGTATGTTCATAATATGATGTATAAGATTTATTTGTGAGTAAAAGTTAAACTAAAAAATCCAAATTAGAGTCACCTCTTTAGTAGCGTCTTTGATTGTATTCAGGGTTTCTCTCAAATTGTTAACCTGCGTTTTGTTTTTTTAAATTAGGCAATAAACAAGCTAAACATACATAAATCTTTGGTCAAATAGTCAGAATTCTGTAAGAATATTCACCCGATTGCTAAAAGTAGTTGTGAATGCAAATACACGTAGTTTTTGCATTATTCTTGGGATCTTCGCACACAGCAAGAAGAACTAAAAGACCAAGTACCATAATGTGTTATGTAAGGAAATATATCTTTATGCAGTAAGTTCCAATCAATGATTAAAAATACCTGTTCACATTGTCCAAGCATTCTCTTGTTTCCTGTATAGCTCTGAGATGCAGAAATACGATTGCATATGGGTAATTTAAGTGTAAGCATTATAGCAGAAAGTTCTTAACATACGTGCATCAGAGTCATAATGTGGAACAGTTATCAAGATGCATACAATATGTCAATAACCACAAACTACACAGTATAAGGGAGTAAGTGTGCCTCTCTTTTTTTTTAAAAAATTATGTAAACTAAATTCAAGATTGTACCAAATTCAGTGAAAGAGGTAACAGAATAAGGGACGGGGGTAAATGTTGAGAATAAAAGCTTTGAACCCCATTACCACAAAGTAAACCAAAAATAATATATGTTGGAAGCTTTAAACCTGTGACATAAATTCCCAGCTTTGCTTTTTAGGGATATGATGGAAAGAAAAGATACTAAGCGGAAGAACAGAGCAGACATTAATACCTTTAGCAACTCCATTTCATCTTTTGTAGGACATATTTTAATAAGAGCATCAACTTGATCAACAATAACAGCAGAAGAATCCAATGCAAGGATGACATTCTGAAAATAAACACAGCTTCTTCAATATTGTATTACATCTGACATTAAAGCAAATTATACGTTTAACATCTAAGTATGGAATGGATCATAAATGAAATAGGGTTGCATAATTAAAACTGGTTGGAAATTTGAGAATATGGTAACAGAGAATCAGATTTTCGATAGCAACACCTAAACATTCCAAAACTTAGTAATATTAATATTGTATCTATAATTTCATGCAAGTGATTGTTTCCTAGAATTAAAACCAAGTATAGAAGTTCTGGTTTGGTTGAGTTTATCATTTTTAGGGTTCCATATATACCAAGCTTTGCACACTCCTAAATGAACTTACAATAATATCAGGTAGAGGTTCTCTTATTTTCCGAAGCATGGTTTCACAATCAGTTGCTCTGTCTGGATGAACCTGAAAAGGAAATATAACAAAAAATTCATCAAAATGACTTAATTAACAATGCTTAAGTAAATCATTAAAATGCTTCAACTTTATAATGGTGGAGAGACTGCAGTACGTAGGATCAAATCAAGCCATGTCAACATATCACCAAATATAATCCATTTTGAAAACTTTAAATATCCTTGAAACCTAGTACAACTTAATTAATAACTAAAATTAACTGCTATACAATTGTCACATCAGACTACATAAGCCTTTATAGTCTCAATCCCCTTCGATACTCTTGTAAATTCAAATAAACGTACAATGCTTGTTGACACTAAAATAACCAACATAATCAACTAACCAAACGAATTGCTTCTGGATTGAGCCTCCCATAGCCTGGTTGAGCTCTGCAAAGTAATTAAGAACTACTATCAATTTTCCTTAATGAAACCAAAGCAATAAATTATGATTTACATTTTACTTACGCCATACAATAATGCATGTTATAAATAAATACTAGTAGCAATTGTCATTCAAGACATCCACATTACATACCTTGAACTTCTTTCTTTGGAAAACAGTTGTGCAAAATCAATGGACATTCTATTACTTTGATCATCCAGCTCGGTGGAGCTATCAAGCCTAGGAAGTAAGAACTTTCATCAACTCTTACTAATGAATCCAAAACAAAATATGATACCATGTTATAAACTAGTAAGTAGTAACAATTGTCATCCAACCAATCCACATACCTTAATAGGCCAGGTGGAGCTGATGCATGCGAGCTGTGTGAATGTGGAGGTGGAGACTGTGCTGGTGGTGGCGATTGTACATTAAGGCTCTTTGGAAACAGAGGTGGCAGAAACAAACAAAGAATTTAGCAAATGGATTTTATAATAATGCAAAAAAGTTAGTGTTAATGAATGTTTCGAAATTCACATAACACCCAACATAAGGTTATAAAGAGCACCAAAAATGAAAGAAGTAAAATATAACATGCATTGTCATGATCATAATAAATGTATATATAATTTCTCTTTTTCTTGAGACTGCTATAAAAACGAAAAAAGAAAAAGAAACTAACTTGATGTCTGAGAGCAGTTTCAAGTATTAACACGATCTCCTTCATTAATGGACGTTTTTCACGGTCTCTCTTCAAACATCTATAAGCAATTGCTGCAAAGCCCTCCAAGGAACTTGAACCAATTTCCTCCTTTATACCAGTATATATAATTTCATCTAGTTTTTTCTTCTTGTAAGATTTTCGTACCCATAGAGTAAAAGGTTGAGGGTTATCACTGGTGACAAAACACAACCTCCCACACAAAACTTCAAACAGCACAACGCCAAACGAGTAAACGTCCGACTCCTTTGTAAGTATCCCTAATTCTGCATACAGGGGATCACAATACCCAATTGTACCACAGACGTTGGATAAAATAAATGTGATTTCCTGGTTAGCAGGACCAAACCTAGATAGACCCAAATCAGCGATAATGGCATTCCAGTTTCCATCTAATAGAATATTAGAACTTTTAATGTCGCGGTGTAATACTCGTTGATAACCCCCGGCAGGATCGTGAAGGTAAGCTAGTCCGCGAGCCGCTCCAATGCATATCTTAAGGCGTTGAACCCAGGTTAAATCATTTCTCTCGAGATGCACATTAAGACTACTGTTAGTAGCATATTCGTAGACTAGGATATTCTCCTTACTATCGTCACAAAACCCTAAGAGAGATACGATATTTTCATGCTTGTAACGAGAAAGGGTAAGGATCTCACTCCAAAACTCACGTTTTCCTTGGGGAAATTTATGACGAATTAAACGTTTTAAAGCAACCATGGCACGTTCCTTCGAATCCCACCCGAGTTCTCCCCTGTACACATTGCCGAATCCTCCCTTTCCGATGCAATTATCTTCGCTAAAGTTGTTGGTTGCTGATAGTATAGATTCTAGTTTTATTTTGAGGTATTCAAATTGTTTTAGATCAGACATGGTTTTGATGATCGATCAAAAATAGGAATGGAAGTTGAAATGATTAGAGCTGCTATTGAATCTATCATTGCATGTTAAGGTATTTAAGTTTTAACCATGAGATCTTAGTCAACTACCTCTCCCAGTACATAGTTGATGGGTTTCTTTAAATTTTAATAAACAACTTAGTTGCCGGCTTACAAAATGAGTATTATTATAAGACTAGGATGTGCTTTACCAACCAATCACCATTGCCAGCTTGCAAAATGAGTATGCTAAGGGTAGAACCGTACAATTTCCATTTGCCAGCTTGCAAATTGAATATATGGTGTATTGTATATGAAAATATGAAAATGCCCCTTTCAACAAATAAATTGCATTTTTTTCATAACTTGACAAAACTATACGAAAGCTTACACATATACACAGGATTAAAATAATATGATTATATATATATATATATATATATATATATATATATATATATATATATAGAGAGAGAGAGAGAGAGAGAAAGAGAGAGAGAGATAGGTTCAAATATTTCTAGCAACTATTGTGTGCATGTATGCACCAATGAGAATTTAACAAATAATTTATTAAATAGATAAGGGTATAATAGTAATGTTAGCTAATTTTAATTATAGTAAATATTCAAAACATTTAATATCCCTTTAAACTAGGAAATCAATTTTAAAACCCTACAAAATATCGACCTCTCATCAATTTCATCATCATCGACCGTATCGTCACACACAAACATCTCGCCACCGGCTCTCATCGTCACCCACCTTCTTCAACTAGTCGTCTTCTTCATCTTTTTACATAGAACCTGTTACACTCCTTAATCCTTCGACCAAACCCAATCCCATTACTGATGTTCTTGCTAATTTTGGTTCTAAATACGAACCTTGTACTGTACATCGACGATATCACGTGCAAAATCCTTACCAGCACCTTACCTGATGTCGATGCCTGATGTGGACGAGTGCAACGGGACTGAAGGTCGTCAACTGTAGCGCTGATGGAGATCAAAATTGTATACGACATCCATTGAGAACAGATTCATTGAGAAATTGACAGGGGGGGGGGGGGCATTAGAAATCGAGCAATGTATACTGAATGTAAAAAAAAATTAGGGTTTGTGCCTTTTTTGCGATGGAGACGTCCAGTGGCCAGAAACGTTTATCATCTTATTTCTCAATTGCAATAGTTAGAAGTTTGATTCAGGCTCCAAATATGACAATCGTTAGGTAACTCTTATCATCTGTTTTCTTGAATTGTTATTTTGGTTCAAGCAAGTTTTGTACTTTTTTCTCCATTAGATTTTGATTCAGTATACCTGGAGATGGAGGCTGAAACTAAAGATTCTGAAGATGAAGCAGGAGACATTTTAACTACAGTTGTATATTCTTGATAATACAAATTCTTTAAGAATATTCAAAACCATTCTACAAGAATAGTTTATTCTGTAAGAATATTATTGTTGTATTCTGATAGAATTGTAGTTAATTATTTGTATGTTTAATGTGCAGTTGTTACAAGTGTATCACTACAAATTACTTGGCAATGAATTTCTGATAGAAATAGCTTGAAGAATGGCTTGAAGACCTGATGGGAAAGGCTTGAATAATGAATTAAATAATGATCACACTCATTGTTTAAGAATATTGTTATTTTTTAAGAATTATACTTGTTATTCTTTCAGAATATTTGTTATTATTCAATAAATCACAATCATACAATGTAATTATTTGGTATATTATTAGTTCAAGAATCGATTTTGTGTATTCTTTCAGAATGTATTTACTAGTTTATGGTTGACATTATGTCATTCTAACAGAATAAAATCGAAAAATATATTTACTAGTTTATGGTTAAAATTCTATCATTCTGACAGAATAAAATCGGATTTTTAATGTTAAATTAATTTAAAATATTCATATTTTTAAAAATAAAAGAATTAATTATCCCTAAAAATCCGAAAATTTCCTTTTTTAATATAGGTTAATTGACTAAAATGCCCTTATGCTCAAATTTGTGTGATTATATGGTACATGTTATCATATTCTACTATCATAGACCCTCAGATCATGACCTTTGATTATATTCCATCCAATGGTCCAGATCTGTGCATTCTGACACACAATAGTTACTAGAAACAAAATAACCTAACCCTATATATATATATATATATATATATATATTATATAAATCTATAAATTTAATATGAAATTGATTATAACCTGTCTATCACAATGTATATTATCTAACAATAATAGTATTTACATCACAAACCTCAAATAGAAAAATATAATTTCATATTCAGCAACATAATATATAATCAACATCAACAACACATTATAATATCTATTAAATATTACATTGAAATAAAAAATATATATAATAATACAAACGATCATATGTGAATATCGTATTATTATGTATTCTTTTAGAGTAATTTGCACGAATGGTCCCTATGGTTTGGGGTAATTTGCATGTTTGGTCCCTAACTTATTTTTTTAACTCGGAATGTCCCTACAGTTTGTTTTTATTGCACGTTTGATCCCTATCTTACCTAAAAAGACTATTTTGCCATTGATTTTTTTAATTTATTTAAATAAGATGGTGTAGGTAAGGTAATGTAAGGTGAGTTGGAAGTGGGGTTAGGGATGTGTTTATTTAAATAAATTAAAAAATGAAGGGCAAAATAGTCTTTTTATGAAAGACAGGACCAAGCGCGCAACAAAAACAAATAGTAAGGACCTTCCGAGTTAAAAAAGTAAGTTAGAGACCAAACGTGCAAATTACCCCAAACCATAGGGACCATTCGTGTAATTTACTCATTCTTTTTTAGTGAATGACCTTTGGTGTAGGAAAAATAAAATATTAGGAATTCCTACCGTAGAATAGAACAACGTAACCAAAACTTTGTCTTATATTATCTTCAAACAATTGAACAAAATTTATATATTCCACTTATATAAATTTATATCTTTATGTTCTTTATTAAATATAATACATGCACCATAATGTAGAGTTTTCAGTGTTCTAAAATCATATTTTTTTTCTCCATCTTATTCACCAAACTCTAGCAATCTCATCTACATATGTAAATTATTTATATTAACCAATTAAATATAATAATTACCACTTCCTAACAATAAGTTAAAAAAATCTTCATTTGTAGTGATTAATTATTTTTAAGTTGAAATCAGAAGTACACATATCTGATCATATATACGTATAAGTTACGAAACTTTTGAGTTGTAGTGATTAATTAGTTCTTAATTAAAAAGACTTTTGAGTTGTAGTGAGAATTGCAAATGAATATATTTCAAGGAAATTGGCATATATGAATAATATAATTCGACTTTTATAATTATATTAGTTGTATATTCATAGACAAAACTCAATCGAACAACCATATAAGACATTGGAAACTTAAAGTATACATCTTCAAGAAATTATAGCAATTAAAGTGAAATGTGGTCATTCTTCTCTTGGCTTTAAATATACAACCATAAACTCTTTATTGAAATGTAAATAAAATAGAAGGAAAATATATGGATATAAATTGAAAAGGAGAAAATAACACATATAGATTTTAGTCTTTCAAGACCTTGATTATGATATCTGTTTTGAGTTCTTCTAACATATTTCACCATTCTAACTCTTTCTTTTAGAAATCAATACTTCAAAAACCTTCAACTTTGTTGATCTATTACTTGGTTATCTTTATATTCTCTCTAAATTTTGTATGTGATTTGTGTGTGCTATGTTTACTAAAATGATTGATCTTTTTTATAGTAGTAAAATATATATAAGTAGCATTACAAAAAGTTATTAGAAATTTATAACTATTATAATAATAATTGTCATTAATTTAGGGAATGTAAAATGGCATAAGTTTCAAATCAATATGGGTTGAGATCACAATTTATCTCTAACGACAAGAGTTACAATGGTCTCCCTTATAATATAGAATAGATAGATAGATATAGATATTAAATTGTAGATAGATAGTAGATAATAGATAATAGATTCTTAACACATAAAAGAAAACACAAAAATAATGAGAATTATTTTACAAGTAAAATTTAATTTCGTTTTTTTATGTTTATTTGTATTACATTAGAATTTAATACCTCATCAGGTTGTCAAAAAAAATCCAATAACATATATTCGAGTGTAATATGTATGAATAATTATACTTTTAAATTATAGTAGTTACATAACTAAAAACGAAACTCAATCAAACAAAGAAAATAGGATATTGCAAACTAAGAGCTTGCATCTTCAAACTAATTGTAACAAATAAATTTAAATAGATTCATATTTTTTTCTTTTGGCTCAAAATATACAACCATGATAATTTTCTTGAAATATAAAGAAAATAGAATGAAAAAGATTTGGGTATAAACAAAAATTGAGAATTCACCTAAATAGCTTTTAAGCTTTCAAACCCTTGATTATCATATTCACATTTAGTTTCCTCTCAACATATTTTTATCATTCACCTCTTTCTTTCATTGTGAGTAACCAAACATGAAATAATCTTCTTATATATGAAAAGAATTCAATTAGTCAAGCAATTAATTAAAATATGTTGAAAATGTGAGAGTACCAAGTGAATATGGTTCAAGATAAATGATATAATTTGAACCACATTGATTTGAATGACCTCCTTTATAAGATTTCTAGACGTATTTTTATGCATCGCACAGGAAGACAATTATATGGCTTAAAGTATGTGTAGGAAATCAATAACCTATATTAGGAACTATCATTAAAATAAATGAGTGTAAATTTATAAAATCTTAGGACGAAACAGGAAGACAATATTTACTACACTTTCTTTTAAGTTATAATGCATACCAAGAACCATGCAACAAACAAATTAATGTGATGTACCGTTGACAAAAGTTTTTAATAGTTTATGCCTTTCGTAAGAGATATGTATCCACATTAATAAACCTTTGAAACATAGTAATCCAATGAAAATAGTTTAATTATATAGAAGTTTTATTTTAATATTGAAACTTTTCAAATCCTAATTAAGATTATTTAGTATTAGTCATAACAACTCAAAATATTTTTTACTTATGATAGTTAGATTATATTTACGGGCTTAGTTATATATTATTAAAATATTTAAATTGTGTTTA